AAACAACGGAAACCATAAAAAAAAAAAAAAAAAAAAAAAAAAAAAAAACTGTTTGATAGCCTGTTTTAAAAATGTTGCCATTTGGCAGTTTAAAGTTTAAAATTGTTTTGAAGGCTCTAGTCGAGACAAAATGTTTTCAACAAAGTCCTGTATCACAACTGCTTTTCTACACTCATATAAAAGTTACTCTGACAAAAATATTGTTGATAAAATGGTCACTGTGATCAATTTCAAATGAGTTAGTTTAAAAATTCACTTGATTTTGATACTGTAGTGAAAATAAATTAGTTACCTGGGGACCACTATGTACATGACAATGGTTGCAAGTGCTCCAAAAGAAGTGAAGGCGTAAATTAATATGCTAATACATGCATACATGGTCCTCTTTGTCCAACAGATTATACATAATAAGCACTGTTTATAAATATTGAAGAAATATTTTGCTTGTGCTAATCGATATCTTGCTTGTACTGTGAAAAAAAAAATAGAACCATTTTTCTACTGAAATGAAGCAAGCTGGAAAAAGGCCTGACTCACTGTGTCCTGCAAGACTCAGCTGAGCCTGGACTCATGGTGCTATTACAGGTGTTCTGTACTAACCTTTCATGTGCAGCATTGAACTATATCCCTATATCTTCTCCATTAATCCAAAATTGATGTTCAATATAAAACCGTAATTCCCATTATGGCCAACAAAATCAAATTTGAACTGGTCTTGACTGATGAAAAATGAGACTCAGGGTAGCTGGGGCTTCTTTTTACCATCAAAGTTGTCATAGTTTAGGACAGTGGACTGAGAACTAGCCAGTGCAGCAGGACTGCTCCTCTTAGCGGAGCACATCAAGTCATCTTCCTCCTCCATCTCCAGCTCCAACCGCAACTTAGTGCTCAGCCAATCATCCAGAAGAGCCTGAGCTGCAAGAAGCAACAACCCAGATGTCAGTGTTCAGCCTGCTGCTGTAATAACTGCACAGGCACACTTTTATATCATATAGGTGACACATCCCTAGAGACCTCTGCATTATGGGTTTTATAGGATTGACCTACCTTCACTGTATGCATCATTATGATTGCTCAACTGGTCAGAGCTTTGCAATGGTACAGCGAGGCTGCTGGATCCTGAATAAGATTTCTTGCGGGAGAAGACTTCAGACACAGCAAACTCAGAAGCCCTCTGCACTTGCTGAGGACAAGGACATGGACAAACACATGGAAGGCTGAAATAGAGTTTCTCTTTTTCATTAAAAATTAATCAGATATTTTTTAAAATTTAGTCTTAGTGAAAATGCCCATCAGTCCAAGGTGACATCTTACCTGATCAAAAATAATCCAAACCTCAAAGACATTCAATTTACAATGATACAAACCATGCGTCATGAAACACTCAAATTCTATTCACCTTTCTCCACAGATCAATATCACCATTCTTCACATACATCTGTTATTGAAAGAAAAAAAAACAATGAAAGGTAACTGTTTGTAAGAGAAACCACAGCCTGTGGAAAGGCTGGTCACCTCCGCTGGCCATCTTACAGACACCTTGAGCTACAGGCACAGTCTGCAGTGCCTGATGTCTGCAGATCATTTCACATGACAGCTGAGCGATTGCCTTAAATCGGCAGCTTATTTCAGAATTCAGAAGTCAGTGTGTTAATAGAAGGGATTCAGTTATCTTAGTCTAAGGCTGCAGGCATGTGTGGAAAAGGCATTTAACATTTCCTTTACTTTGACATTTCTAAACCATCCCGACACCAGCCATGAGTCTATATTATCAGTGATGTGCTTCTCCTTCGTTTCTAAACAGCTACAACTGAGCACTTTTTACAGCTATGTTTTACCAAAAGGTAATTTGGTAATACTGGGAGAAAGGTCTGAACTCTTTTTATAAAACTGAAAAATATTTTCACTTATGAAAAAGCATTGAGCCTATTATCTAGAAGAGGCATCCTCTGCTTAATTCTGTTTTCCAGTTTTGAATTCTGAACCAATAACTATAGTCTACAAACTGTTAGTGTTATGGTTTGTGGACTGGCTTCCTGTTTTGTGCTTTTATTTTAGTTAGATTTCCTGTCTTGTGTCACCTCACCTGCCCCAGCTTTACCCTGGTTCATAATGTCTGTTCATTGCTTCCACCTCCTGCTCTTCTGTCTATATATCCTCCTCCTTTCCTTCAGCCTCTTTGCTGGTTTGTTACCAGAGTTTAGTTTTGGCTACCTGACCAGTCTATTAACCTTTAGTTCTGTCCTGTCAGGTAGAGCACCCAGTACTTTAGTTTTTTATTTTCAAATAGACTGATAAACTATTACAACCAGAGTGTGTGTCTGCGCTTTGGGTCCTTCGCTGCCTGAAACACAACAGCCTTAGTTTAACATTAGTCCAAAGACTAACCTTAGACTTACCTTTTCTGCAGATGTTTTACTCTTGTCGAGCCTCTTCCACCTGCACAGGTGAGGACTGTGACCTGGGAACGTCATCATCTGTTTATAGCTAAACCTTTCTTCTTCTTTTTCTTCTGTTTTTTTTTTATGGCGGTTGGCAACCTAGCTAAACATTTGCCTTAGCTACTATAAAATAATCAATTTCATCATTACAGTGCCCAAATAGTTCAAGTTTATATTGGCAAAAACTGTTCAGAAGTCGCAACAGACACCACGGGAAAGTATAAAACTTTGTACGTAACTGCCATTATTTTACATAGGCTTCTGGGTAATGAAGTACATTAACCATTTTAATAGATTAATTGTCGCAGCATAGATACATTTACGGACTACGTGTCCCACTAGGCTTTATTTGTAGTTTAGGTGGCTCCCTCGTAACCATAGCAACTTTATTAATCTCCAAACATGAATCGGAAACAGTAAGGTGACAGAAATTTCAAATACCAATGAAATAAAACCAATATAAATAGTTTTAAATGTCTACACAGCACAATATCACCTAAACGGGTTCTGTTTACTAAAGGTGGAATGACGCCTTTTTGTAGTTTTCTAAGTGCTGCCGCGGCTGGTGATGACGACATATTTCCCCGACTTGTGGTTCCTGTCAGGTAATTTTGATGGAAGGTGCTCTTTAATTAAAAGAAAAACTTGTAATCCCAACCAACACATATGTGAACGCGTCCGTTTTCTCATAAAGCGTCTTTAAGAGTGCTAAACATTTAACTCGACGAACGACTGCATAAACTTGTAACTCGAGAGTAGAAGGCTGGTTAGCTACGTGGCTAACTCACGTGTTCTTTTAGTGCAGTTTATGCTTGTAGCAAACGTTAGCTCACTGGATCACTGCCATTCAAACTATATTACAACCACAAACGTCGGTTAGTGTTATAGTGGTTCTAGCGACCCATTTAGCTACTCCTATGGCTGGCAACGGGATGAAGCTGGAGCTGTCCCGGGTGATTAATGGAAGAAGTCGCCTGGGTGTCCTAAAGGGGATCGGCAGGACGGGACAGCACTCCCTGGAGGTCCCTGGGTGCTTGCTCTACACACATTTGGGCACAGTCCCCCACCTCACCCAGGACACACTGCACACAGTGAGCAACCTCCCCTCTGTCACCCAGGTCACCTTGTCCAATATGTAAGTTGAACTCATCACACACACACACACACACACACACTGAACTCTTTAACTTACATCTCCATCAATTTATCTTTTTCAAGAGCAGAGCACCATGAGGTGTTAGAGCATTTCAAGGATGGATTCAGGAAGTTTGCAGGTACAAATCTTCATTTTCCTAATCGTGTTCTTTACCTCTTTCCACTTTTAGCACCACTTACTATAGATTAAGTAGTAATCAGGAGAGGATTGGAGAAGTTGGGACATTGATTAGACATAAATTATGACGCCCAGTGCTGTTCCAATATATTCAAATGTATTCAGTATTGATTAAAAGGTAATCCACCATCAGCATTCAGCTGAAGTGGAAATCATGAACTGTACTGATGTTAATGCAGTAGAGCTTTATTTACAGTCACCAAATTAAGTAGGGATACCCAAATGTACAAGCAGCATCTAAACACTTTCATTTGTATAAAACTGTGGAATTCTTTGATACAGTATGTGCATATAAAGACGGTCCTTTCAGTCAGGCAGAAATGAGAGTCAATACTGGTTAAACATTGGACCAGATATGAAACAAAATACTAACTGAAACATTTGCAATGGCTTCAGAAATTATGTCTTTAATTTTTGTATGTTTTATTTTGATGAAGATGTTACACATACACACATTGAAGAGTTTATGAGGATTATTTTCAATGGCTAGACTAGACTGGAGAGTGGAGCAAATGGTGAATATGATGAGCTCAGTAGTGAAAAGCTGATTAGTTTTATGAGCTTGATGGAAAAAATGATGCTTTCCTGAGTAATGTTCATATAAATGCCCTAGAAGAGTGACCTCATTCAGCTGTGGTACTTAGCTTTACCCTGCCCTGGGCAACTACATTAGAAATTAGAAATATAATCACTACAGTGTCACTTGCTGTAAACCATCAGGGGATTAATGCACTGCTGTCTCAGAAGGAAGAGCAGTGATTGAATAATAAGTGTTTGCTGTCGTTAATGCTTTTGTTTTGTCACCTTTTGATCTTCTTCTGCAGCTGGGTTTGCTGATAAGGCAACACCTCATTCCTCCCTCCAGACTTGTCACATTAACATGCATTAATTAAGCCTTTCACTCATCACCTTCCTTCAGCCTTTGCTGACTGCAACTCTTTGTCTGGTTTTGCTCTGTCAGTGAAGCACATTGATTTTTGTCTTGTGGTTTGTGGAGGTCTTCATGATACTGTGTTGTACTGCTCCCTTCACGACCCGGCGGCTCCCTGCCCAACAGGTTATACTACAAACAAGGTGAGATTGCACTTTTTGCTTTTTTTTGTCAAGAGTTAGAGATGACTGTTCTTTTCACATTTTTGTCTTTTCAAGTTAAAATGCTCTCTCTTGGTTGTTAGACGGTGTCGGTGTGGGGGAGCCCCGGGCGGATAGAGCTGACAGTGGCCAAGTTCATGGCTCTTCAGAAGACCGTGCAGCCAGACTGGTACCAGAGCATGGCAGACGGCGAGACGTGGCAGAACAACACCTCCCGCAAACGGGTTCAAAAGTCGGTGAATAGAACTCTGGCTCACTTGGATGAGTGCCTGCTGGTGCACCAAAACTCACAGGTGCACACACATTCAGTTTTGTTACAGGCATGTGCACACAAGATGAGGTTTGATCATTTTGTTGTCACAGGGGTCGCTGTGCTGTGGCTGGAAACACAGTGGGATTAGGAGAAATGCATTATAAGGAGGCATATAAGGGAGTCAGCACCAGGAATGAATAATTAAATAACCTCTTTCACCCTGTCTTGTAAATGCAGTGAAATGCTTCCTCATTTCACATTTCATGATATAGAGAACAGAGAGGACAATTACTATGAAGAGTAGCAGGGGATGCATGAAGTTCGACATATATCTTTATTCAGTTAAGCTTCAGAGGAGATAATACTGTATATATACACAACACTATTCTCTAGTGCTAGCAGATCTACAGCGTCATTTATTTTTTGTTTGCATCTTTGTGGAAGTTCCACAATATCTTAATATTTTTGTATGCGATTGTTTTTCACTGCCTGCCTGTGCTAAATGCTGCATTTTAGCACATGCTAACTGCATCTTTTTTCCTCATGCAGTGCATTCAGCTTCATGTTTTCATCAAAATTCAGATTGTTTCAAGAAAGAAGAAATCCTTCTATTCTATTTGCGCTTGCGTAAATTTTCACTTTGTCCCAGCAAATCTTGTCATATATACACCATGTGCTGGCATGAAAGCTGAGCTGAGTTCTGTTTAATCTGTTTTGTCAGGCTTCAGTTTTCTGCTTTCTCCCCTTATTTCTTGCTCTTTCAGACTTGCAAGGTCTCTTTCTGTCAGCCGTTTAATCACCAAACTGTCACTTTCAGGAGTTGGAAGGAGTTGAGGTGTTTGGTGTGGTGGAGGGAGGAGATATCCTGGAAGAAAGGGTACGCTCTGCAAGGGAGACAGCCAAGAGGCCAGTGGCAGGATTCTGCCTGGACGGCCTACAGACAGGCTCCATGGACCAGGACTTGAGGAACCAGCTCACTGCTGCTGTGACCAAGGAGCTGCCTGAGGACAAACCCAGGTCAGAGCTTCTTCTGACTGTCTGAGATGACTGTTGTCAAGGGATTTTCCCCTACTAATTATTCATCCTTTACCAGTGTCACTGACCACAGCCAGCTAGAGCTAAACAAAATTCAGATTTAAAGGAATAGTTCAGGATTTTTTAAGTTGGTGTTGAAGCAATATTGATGTCTCATTCTCTCTCTCTCTCTCACACACACACACACACACACAGGTGATGGAAGCCTGAGTTTGAGAAATTCCCTAATTTCCCATTGAGCTTGTAAACAGGCTCACTGAGAAGACCGCGGGACTCCCCTCTTCACTGATTGTTCTGGCTCTTAGGATATAGTGCTTCCCTCTGGAGTGTGGAGTAGTCTTGACCTTGATGCCTAGGGGAGAGAGTTAACAAAGCACAAACACATGAGAGTGCACATGTTACAGAGAAGAAGCAGGCTGCTTGTGTGTGCGTGCCTGTTGTGTAACATCAGAATGCTGTAGGTGTTTGTGATGGTTTATGATTTATGCAACTTTTAATGTTTGTGTTTGTTCGTGACGCCCTGCAGGCTGCTGCAGGGTGTAGGACATCCTGATGAGGTCCTGGCCTGTGTGGAGGCCGGCGTGGATCTGTTTGAGGGTTTCTTCCCCTTCCAGGTGACAGAACGAGGTTGTGCTCTCTGCTTCAACTTTGACATTTCCCCAGACCCGGAGCGTGCAGGTAGAGCGCCGCGTGCAGGTGTGGTGAATATCTGTGTTAAAGTAGTTACAATGTATAGATTACCTTACAAATATCATTTAGGAGGTAGAAAGACAATGAGAGGGCAGCACGGTGGTGCAGTGGTTAGCACCGTTGCCTTACAGCGAGAAGGTTCTGGGTTCGGACCCCACCTGGGACCTTTCTGTGTGGAGTTTGCATGTTCTCCCCGTGCTTGCGTGGGTTCTCTCCGGGTACTCCGGCTTCCTCCCACAGTCCAAAGACATGCAGCTTAGGTTGATTGGTGTCTCTAAATTGCCCATAGGAGTGCGTGTGTGTGGTTGTTCGTGCGCGTGTGTGGTTGTTCGTCTATGTGTTAGCTCTGCGATCGCCCTCCGCCCGTTCCCCAGCCGGGACCCCCCCCCCGTTCCCCCCCCAAAGCCATAGAAAATGAATGAATGAAAGACAATGAGAAATGAAAGAAAACGAATTTAATTGGCAGTTATGGTGCACTGATGCATGTTGGACTTCATTTTCATGTTGAAATTCATTTTATATGAATGTCGAGTTCATTTTATATATGTAGTCCATCGGCAGAGCCACTACTGTGTTTTTACTGATACAGAATCACAGTTAAGTGATGGATGCACGAACTGAAGAAGCCCAAATCATGATCATTTCTATAAGATGCTCAGTTAATATCTATGACGAGCCTGTCATTCATCTCAGATGCTGCACAGAATTTTCTGTAATTGCATTATTGTTAATCAGACTTAAATGATTCATTGTAAAATTCCCTAGAAAGTCTCTAGGACATGAACACTGTGTGCTTTCAGGTTGGTGAGCAGGATGGTGAAGTCTGGCTGTTCTGTCTTCTCATAATGAATATGAAACAAGTGTTAGTGTGTGTGTGGTGGTCATCTCCTCCTCCACTTGAGGAAGATGAGGAATTTGCATTAATATTCGACTTGGATCTAATGGCACGTGAAAGCTGGTTTGTTTGTGTGTAGTGGCTGGTGTGTATTTTCCTTCGCTTGCTAAAATGAAATCAGCAGCGTACCTCAAACTAGAGCAGGTCTAGTAAGGTAACGCCCAGGCCCATTGTTCTGCTGTCTTAAGTGAACAGCACCAGAAGTGTTAAGACAGGAGCTGAGATAATGCACTGACTTGGCTCGCTTTGGGCTTTGTACTTCATTACAAAGTTGTGTTAAACTTGTCTGACAGACGGAACGAAGTTTGGCATCCAGCAACATCTAGTGTCAGGCAGCACTAATCGATTCTGCACAGGGAGTAATGGAGTTCATGGGAGGTGAGAATCAAACCTGAAGAGGTGGTTTAATTCCACGCTCAGCCAATTACAAGGCCCCGTGTGGGTGTGAGGGGTTAACGTCTTTTTTGACACAGCCCATTTGCTAATTTATCTCCTTTCTTTCATTCTCCCCTGTCGATGTTGTCCTCTCTTGCACTCCTAGATGTTCCTCTTTTCCAACATTCAGTCTTTTTCTCCCCTCACTGGCCTCTGTCTAGTTCTGCACCACAAAACAAAAACATAGTAACTACACATTCAAAAATTTTTAGCACACCTGTTTTATGATATTAAATTACACTTTTAAACTGTAATTTTTGTAGGGAGATCAGCAGGTACATTTGTTAGATCTAGAAAACAGATGTTTAAAAAACTACTCCCACTAGTTACAGCTAGCAGGCAAGTAATTAAAGCAAATGTTCCATTTTTCCTGTAGTTTTGATCCTCGAGCATCTCATCTTAATAGTTTGTTATATCAAAGTAGTAGCAAGATCAAATAAAAACTAGCCTAGCTGAGCAGAACAGCTGTATCTGTATCTAGTGTGATTCAGTTTGAGTTGGAGAATTTAAGCTACTGTATTTCATTGCAAATACACAGTTTTAGATGAACTGTTTGTACATGGCCTACAGATCTCTAGACATCAAGACATATGTTTGGGGGCTTTTTTGACTGTGTATAATCAGTCTAAAAGGCATAAAGTAAAATTGTATAAAAAATTTAAGTTACTGCTGTCTGATGTTCTGAGGAAAACTAGTTAGTACCTTTTCCTTTACAGTGGAACCTTGGACCCGGTTTGCGAGTGTTTTGCAAAAAATTTTGATTTGATATACGAGTGAGTTCTCGCAATATGAGTAGTACGTACGCTTTGTCTGCCGAGCGTCACGTGACGTACGTCACACCTGAGCCGATGGGTCTCACGCTTCACTCATATGGTCAATATCTGCACTGCAACAATGGCCCCTTACCCCAACCATGATTCTTTTCAAAGGTGAAGTGCAGGTTAATTTGTTTTATTTTTACTTTATACTGTATTTTGCATTACTGTATTTTTTACTGTATGAATAAGTGGGTGTGGAATGAATCAGTTTCCATTATTTCTTATGGGGAAATTCGCTTTGATATACGAGTGCTTTGGATTATGAGCACGTTGTCAGAATGAATTATACTCACAGTCCAAGGTTCCACTGTATATCTTATTAGGTTTTATGAAGTGTCATTGACCCTTTTATTCTCATGTTTATCACCACCTCAGATTCTGTAGTGATTCCCCCATAATTTTCTTTTTAAGCTTTTTTGTTTTTACACATTGTTGCTCTGAGCTTCATGTTTCCGTTTCTGCTAAACGTATTCTGTTCTACAGTTGCCTTTTAACTTCCATCTTTAATATGTTTCACTATAGACTACTTTCTTCATTTTCCTCTTTCCCACCACTCATTTTTTATCTTCCTTACACCCCTTGCGTCTGTCCCAGGCCGGACAGCTTGGTGTCCTCCTGTGAACAACAGGCCACTTAATAGAAAACAGTTCTTCACAAGCTCTTGTTAGGGTTCTCCATTTTCATTAAATTAGGTGACGCCACCTTGCAGTGAACACCAGTCTGTGTAAAACAGGTGGTGGTAGTTGGTAGAGTGTAGCTATTGTTACAGTGATGGAGAGGATATCTGATGTAGAAGTGTTTTAATAGGGCTCAAGCTACAGTACATGTTTAAGGCTAAGGATGCTGTGGATCTGTAATGTGTCTTCTGCTACAGATTGAGATGTATGTACTTTGTTTTTGCAGTGTTGGAGCTAAACAAAGAGGACGACGCAGCCAGGGACACTGAACCAAATGGAGAGCTTGATCTTGATCAAACACAGACCATGTACTTTGAGATCAATCTTAAAGACAAGAGGTTTGCAGCAGCTTCATAGAGTCCAGAGGGTTTGGAAGGCAGCAGTGCTGGCAGAATGTTGAACACTAGCTTTACATTTAGGGTGCCTGTTCATGATTTTTACTTTTTTATTTCTATCCAGGCACCAGGATGACTTCAGGCCTTTGGTGGAGGGGTGTGGCTGCTACTGCTGTATGAACCACCAGAGGGCATACCTGCACCACCTGCTGGTGACCAATGAGCTGCTGGCCGGAGTCCTGCTCATGATCCACAACACAGCCCACTATCTCAGCTTCTTTGGTGCAGTGAGAGAAGCTCTGGCTAAAGACAGACTGGATCTCCTCAAGAGGCGGGTACTTGGGAAGAGAGGTGGGATGGATACATCAGCAAAAGAGCCAAGGGATTGATCTTGCTCCTCCTCTAAAGGACTGACTTGGCCAGAGGGAGTAAAAGCTCTGTCTCACTGAGTCACTCCACATGTTGCATGATTAAAAGAGAACAGAGCAGATAGAGCAGTTCTGATGTCTGTCCCTTGGGGTCCTCGCTTGGTCTTGCATCCGGAAAACCACTCCTGTATTGATCTGTCTGTAAGCCAGGAGACAGTTGGAGTTAGGTTGCTGAAAATTGAAAGGTGCTGCTTGAGAGGTTAAGAGGAATTTGCATAATGACAGAAATGTGAGAATGAGAGGCAGTGGAGTAGGATGAATCCCTGTACGCCTCCTGTTGTGGACTGATTGCAAGTCAGCAGATGACTAATTCCCTCAGCACTCATTGACAGTAGCATAGACCAGAGAGAGAGCCAACAACTGTGACCAGGTTTTACAGGGAAACAAATGGCTGTGATAGGTGCTGCTTTTCTCCTGTTTTACATTAAACTGTTTTTGTATAATATTTCCAAGCCTCCTTTTCTTTTTGTCATTCCATGCTTTATTGATCTCTTATTGAGCATTTGTTTATCTGCTCCATCAATACTTTTAATGTTTCATTTGGGTACTTTGCGCACAGGTGAATTGACTTTATGTAGTTTTCAACCTCGTTGGCTAACCTGCTTGTATGATGACATTATCTATCATGGGTTTTGAGGATTAACTGAAGGTTTGAGCTGACAGCTCCAGCATTCCTGTCGCTCAGGGAGGTTAAAGATAAGGGAGATATGGGTGTCTGCAGCCTCCCTTGCAGTGATTTTTGGAAGGTGAGGGAACATAACTGACTGCCAGATCATACAGATGTCTGTAGGGGACAAGTCAGACTGAGGAGAGTGACATTTATGGAGCTGTGAGGTTTCTGTTGTGCCTCTTAGCCACATCAAGCATTAACAAGAAGGTTGAGGATTTGCTGTAATCAGTAGTTGGGTGCTGTGCATATTAGCTCAAATATAGGAATGAAATTGGTTGGATAAGATAAAAGCATGGAATTGTATTAATGCCTGAGGGGGAAATGGGCAAAAATTTAAAAAAAGCATTGGCTTCTATAGAGTTAAAGGTTTAATGGGATGGCAGTAGGCAGAAGCTAAAGGTTGGAGAGTGAATCCCTCAGTTTAGCTGGTCACATAGAAAAGTCATTGAATGGCCACTGCCCTCCTTTGCCTTAAATTGCTATTGATATTTTATTCAGAAACCATTTAAGTGGAGGTGCTCAGCAATACTGTCTTGTGTGGGTGTGTGTCTGACAAAGATTTATATGAAAGCACGCTGTGCACATGTACCCTTGGCAAGTAGGCTATGCACTAAACACACCCATGTGATGTTAGTGATGAGTAGAAAGATAAGGGTGGAAAGTGAGAACGGTGTGTGAATTTAAAGCATTTGGAATACAGACTTCATGCGGTTTACATTAACGGATCCACACAAGGTTTGACCTCTTCCTAGAAAATGTACACAAACTACAAATGTGAGTGTCTTACAACATAAAACATGCTAAAACGTGCAGTTTGCAGGTCTCGCCTTCAGGCCTGTTGTCTCCTTCCAGATCAAACCTTAGCATTTTGTCAGCTAGGCTGAGTAAATAAAGTTGGTTAGCATTTTAAATCAATGTACTGTAAATGTATGTAATACTAGTAACACCCTGGCACTTTTGCCTTCTGTCTGAAACCGAGTTCAGTCTGACCAGACTGAACATGGCAGTGCCTCACAGGATAACTCTGCAAGCATATAATAGCTAATACCTTAAAGATGTATGCAGTAGCCTGATTATTTACACATTCATGGCATGGTGGTCGTGTCTGTGGTCGCCTGGCAAACATCCATTTTTCCCACAACTACTGAGAAAAATATCTGACCCTTTAGTTGCTCTGTATATTCACAGGCTAGCCACTGGTTTTTGTTGGATTTATCAGAGCTTTTTTTCCCCCAGAGAAAATAGCTCCCTGTTGCTGGAAATGAGTGGTTAGAAAACATGAAACCAAAGCAATTAGCAGGCACTTAAACACTCCATAGTGCTGAGGGGAACTGCAGAGCTGGGTGATAACTGTTAGTGAATGTGTCATGGAGTGATCTCTGACATTTGATGCAAAAACTGTTTGACATGAGTCTTGATTACACAAACTAGCTTTGGGGTGCTGAATTAGTGTTTCTATTTTAAAGACCAAGTATAAAGTTATCTGAAAGCATGTTTATACCTTTATTGTGGGGATTAAGTTCCAACACTTCTGGATAAAGAGCTTACATTAGAAAATGTGTGCTAAACACTTAAGACTCTGTTGGCATTTGACTGACTCTGATGAGTCTTTCATCTGAGTTTTTGGTAGGCTGGAGCTGATGCTTATGCTCATGTTTGTTCTATGCTACACTGACATTGGACACAGTTTCTATGTGAAGGGCCCTAAATGGCAGTCAGCAGGTGGTCCTCATAGCTTGATTCAGCCAATTATACAGATGGGGAGGGCTGTTCAGGCTCAATCACTACAGGTTTCTTTTTTCTCTCTCCATTCTCCTGGACAAGTTAGCAATCCGAGCTGAGCCTTGTGTTGACTCGCACTTCACACGGCAGCCGGGTTACCGTCTGCTGTGGCGCCAGCACCATGTGACGAAAGAATGAGCGTAGCTGCCCTCCCAAAACAAAGCCTCATAATGCCAGAATTGTGTGGTGCAATGGTGCTTATGTGATAGCCAGAGAAGGGTTTTTATCAGGGAGGGTTTGTGGTGTTACAGCAGAGCATCTGTATGCGAGTGAGAAAGGGCCAGTAATTGAATTGTCACTTTGAGAGGCAGGTGTTTGTGATGCCTTGCAAGCTTAAATCACTGATTTGACAAGGTGTCACCACAGCTGTGGGGCACAGCCAGGGGCCATTTGAGCCTTGGTTTGAAGTGATTGTTGAAAACTGGAAACTTATTCATGCATGTCTTCAGTTCGTCCCACCTTGACTAATGAAACCATTTTGCCTTGAAGGAACAAATCTCTAATTAAGCTACAATTAGTACAAAATGCAGCCACCTGGATTTTAAGATGTCTCAAAAAATGGGCACATTATACCAGAGCTAGCATTTTTGCACTGGTTGCCAGTTAATTTTGGAATTTGTTTAAATGCTATTTTACTTTAAAGCTAAGATAGAGGCCAGCTTGTGTCCCTGAGGTGCACAAATGCAGCTTTTCTGACTTTTCTAAAGTCTAGACTGAAAAATGAAGATCAAGCATTTGCAGTCGCAGCTCCTAGACTATGGAAAAGCCTCCCTGGAAAAATCAGGTTTGCTCAGCCTGTTTTTCACAACCCTCTTAAAAATACATACATGCAGACATAATCTTCAAGAGAAGCAAACTGACTACTGTTAGATGCAAAACATCAAGAGACAGAAAACAAGGAAGGAAGCACAAACCAGCTGCAAAGAGACAAAGCGACCACAGCCAGAGGTTCTTTCAGTCTGGGTGTCTTGCTCTTGTGTAGGGCACTGTTCTCTGACAGTCTGTGCATGGCTCCATCTCGCTCTCAGCCACGTTCATTCACAATATAACACCAAACCGTCACCTTGCCTTGCAGCTTCTCTTTAATTTCAGCCAGTCAGAAGCGACCAGGACTCTCTCTGTCCTGTCCTGCTGCTGCTGTCTCCATAGTAACCTCTGACCACTGGTGGAGAGAAGCGTGACTCTCCTTACTATACTGGCTATAGATGATTGCTCACTAATCAAAAGGCCTAATGGCTTATTACCCCCCTGAAATATTTATGAATTAATTTATGCACATAAATCAAGGACACTGTTTTGCATAATTGAATATTTTATCAGGGCTGCGACTTTGCTCATCATAACATATAGATGTAGGTCAGAGTACTCCGCTGAACTATAGAGGCCATAATACATTAATGGTCCAGCTGTAAATTAAATGGGATGAGATCTGAGACCAGAATAAGAGAAATCAATGGGCAAACTGCTCTATGACATATACACGTGTCTAGGCCTGAATGTATCAAGCAAAAAGTCAAATAAGATCAATAATAAATTATTACGTAAATAAATAAGCAATTATCTTTAAATCAGTTCTGGACCCAGCCCAGCCTGACACATTAATATGAGATTTGTGACCTGAACAGTATTGGGTGGAACAGACAAAAACTGTAGGGTGCAAAACAAGGAGCTAAATGAATGTTTAAAAAGATAAACATACAGTAAATTTCCACTTTTGTTTCCTCTTGCTCACACCTACTTCATGACACAGACACTCACTCCAAAGCTGTGCGTAATATTAGACACAGCTGGCTACATGAATATTGAAATCTTCTGACACCTGGGTTTAAAACTAGATCAAGATCAAAGATTTTTATTGTCAATTCACTATACATGCAGGACATACAGAAAATCAAAATACTGTTTCTCTCCCCTAGTATTAAATGCCATACCATTTAGGAAACTAAAATAGAATAAAAGCAGAGTAAAAATAGACTAAAAGAATAAGAAAACTAAATCAAAGTGATTAGGATAAAACTAAACGGTACAACCTAATAGGATATGACTCAAACCATGTACAATCAGTGACAGTAGTGCAAATAAGATTGTCAGATAGTTGTGAGACTGAAATGCACATGGACAGTAGTGCAAATGACCAACAGCAGCAGATATGACAGTAAAAACAGTCAGCAGCAGATTTACATGTAATATAACAAGAAGGGTGAATGTACTGTGTTTGTGCAAACGGCAGAGGTAGTCTTTTTCTGTTCTGTGGTGGGTCACAGTCCAGGGGCGGGGGGCAGAGGTCATGGACAGCGTTCAGCATCGTCACAGCCTGGTGGATGAAGCTGTTTGTAAGTCTGGTGGAGTGGGCCTGAAGACTCTGGAGGCTGGAGTCTGAAATAAAAAAGTCCCTAACAGAAAACTAGCAGATCCTCAAGCATGTTCTTTTGTTTTTAGATTTAATGGCCATTAACTTTTTTATGCTGAATTAAAAAATAATTGGAAGGCTTTTCAGATAAGTGGAGTTGTTGCCGTGGAAAGTGGTTTCAGTTACTGATCGGACAAGTGAAGGACATTGCATGAAGTCGAACTTTTGGCATCCAAGATGAAAACACTGCACACAAAAAGGCCTAAACAGCAAGATTAAACTTTGCCAATGAACAGGAAGAAGTCTGATAAATACTGGCAGCATGTTCTCTGGACAGATTAACCCAAATCAATTAATTTGGATCAGCGTTGGTCCATCAACTTTGGCGTGAACCTGGCCAGGACAACAGGGACTGCATATCACATAAAAGATGGTGGGAGGTGCTCTGATAGGGAGAACTATGAATACATTCTCGTATCTAAACGCTGAACGAAAAGATGAATCCCAGTCTTGAGAAACTCAGCAGGTTACACTGATCCCTCACATTCTGCAAGAATCATGCACGAACCTTTATAGAAAAAAGTGATGGCTATGACCTGCCTGACTTGAATCCATTAGGATTCCTATGGAGTGTAAA